CGGCACGGCAGCAGCAGGAGGCCCCATTAGCTAAAGTGGTGCTTCAAGTTAAGAACAGTTTCAGGTTAAGTACGGACCTCCGGAACGGATTAAGTACTTAACCCGAGGTACCACTGTACATACTTGCAGATGAACAAGCTGCACAAGCCCTACCCAAGCGCTTACAAAGTACATCAGATCTCTTGAGTCATAGGTAGGATCACCATTCCCATTTTACACATGGAGGAACTGAAACAGAGACGTGTGGCTGCACTAAGTTAATGCTCAGGGAGAATATCAAGCAGGCTTTACTTAAGAATGCAGAAATACTTAAAACAAAGGGAGGGCGGGAATTGCAATTGCTCCTTGGCTACTTCTACTGGGTTTGGACGTTTATCCAGATTCAGGGAAGGGTTGCAGCTCAGTGCTAGAGCATCTGCTTTGCATGCATGCATGAGGTCTAAGATTCAATTGCTGGCATTTCCAGGTGGGACTAAGAACGACTCCTGCCTGAAACCCTGGAGAACCACAGCCAGTCCATGTAGACAGTACTGAACCAGATGGATGCACCATCCAATTCTGTATAAAACACACAGCTTCCTGTGTTTATAAAGACACTCTGGTGTGTTTTTTAATTGTTCTAAACATCGTACCACCACCAAAAATGTCTCAATAAAGCCCTCAGAGGGCCTTGAGATGTCCTGTATTCCAGCCCAAAAGAGTGGTGTTGACACCAAGGATTCCAGACACTTTCCCCCAAGGAATATTCACACCGCTCCAAGGAGAGCAAAAGAAAACTCCAGTCGGCATTTATCACAACGAAAACAGCTAACTTCGCAAAACCAAAGGCTTCAGTCACCACAATTCACCCCCGATAAGAGGCCGTTCCAATGATTTCATACACCAAGAGGGAAAATAAAGGACAGTGATTCTCTTTGTGCAGATCTAAAGGAAATGTTCCTCATCCTGATAGATCCATCCTTGCTACACACCCTGCCTGGGATAAATATTTAACTAAAAGTAGGAACTGGTCAGCAAATACATGGTGGTACCCCTTCAAGCAATGCATTGTGGGGGCTATTGTCATGTACAATTCATCTCCTCCTCTTTCTTTTCCCTATGCATTTTTTTTTTAGAAGAAGAAGAAAACCCAGAATGGTCTGATGAAATATTTTGGCTTTTGTTCCAGGGACTCTCCCCTCCTGCCGCTTCCGTCAGCCTCCCCTCTCTCCCTCCCCCTTATTCCACCCCACCCCACACACAAAAAAGAGAGAAACTCATTTATCCAATTCGGCAAGCCCCCTTTTTAAAAGGCGAACGAATTCCAAGCTGAGAATCGCGAGGTCGTCCTGTACCACCAGCCGCTGACAGAATGATAAAAAGCTATCCTTCTATTAATGGGTATTTCCCATCCGCTCAGCAACCCAGCTGGGGAAGACCAGCTATAATTAATCTTTAACTCTGCGTCAAAAGGGAGAAAAGCAGGTGAAGGGGGGGTGGCAGAGGAGAAAAGGGTGGAAATCAAGAGCAGAGGGAAACCTACCACCGATTTGCACCCACTCTAGGGGAAAGTTAAGGGAAAAAATGCGGAATGTGGTTTTGCAATACTAAGGCAGAATGGCTGGGTATGTATGTGTTTTTCCCTCCAGAGTTTTTTTTTAAGTCTATATACTTCAGTACCAATTTGCAAGCAAATTAGCTAATCAGAGGGTCTTTAAGAATAAGCCCCTATTTCAGATGGCAGAAAGCCAAGGCTTAGGAATATACAAAACTAAGGCCACTTTTGTACAAGGACACACACAAAAGACAAATAAATGGCTTTTCTAACTTTCGGTGCCTACGCTGACATCGCATCACTGCAAGTGCAAATGTTAATTCTCTCTGAGAAGCGTCAACTTTTAAAGTGCCCGCAATGTTGTGCATCATTTATCTCCCCCGCCCTTGTGCAAGACGAGCATGGACACCATATTCTTCCATGACAAAGGTTGCCATTGTCAATGGATGATGCTCACCTTTAAGCCTGCATCGCTTCACAGAACAAGGAAAACACGCTGCCACTGAATCATTTGGATTAAAACAGCCGCTTTCCAAGAAATGAATCACCCCGCTTCAAAATGGCCATTCTCCTGAGTCATGAACCCCTTCAGCTATACTGGAATAGTTTACCTAGGGAGGCTCACTGGAGTCAGAACCTTGGAAGCTTTTTAAAAGGATCCGAGCTAAAAAGTATTTGTTGTCATTGTTACTTGGCTGACTGGCTTTAAGACTTCATGGTTCGAGGCTGCAATTTGACAAGTTAAGAATATGTTTTCACTTACTGCTAATAAGGTTTGTTATTGCTAGCATTTTTATTATTATTATTATGTATGAGCTTAGTTGCCTTGGATTTCAAAAAGAGCAGGGTATATAGAATTTTTAAGAGCCGGCAAATCTTGCCGATTTCAAGATAATGATCCTCACCCCTGGCTGTGCTCCGTGCAGGACTTGTAAACACAACCCCATTGCCACATATCCTAGGGGACGGTAGGTAAGATGGAAAGGGGAGCACCTGAGCATCTCCAACATTATGCAAACACTGTTTCATGTAAGAGGACTAAACGTTGTGTTTTTAAAAAATAAGAATAAATGTCATGTTTCTGAGACCACTGAGGTCTGCCACAGACAATCATGTTCACATAACTGGCTGCCAGTATTCCCAAAGAGGGTTTGGTTGTGATGACCAGTTTGAGTCATGTGTGCAACCAAGAGTCTTCTGTTCCCTCCAAGAAAGTATAAAGGTAATTGTCAGGGGCCTGGAACCCTAAAAGCCCGATCTATGCCACTCCACAGAAATGGAGAAGGACCTGGGACAGCTGGGAGGAGGTCGAGAGTGGCAGAGGGTTGCACTGGTGAAGAATCACTACATCTGGAGAGCTACAAAAGATCTAAGAGCAGGTACAGAATGCCTGCAAAACTAGTCGAGCTCTGTTGGGTTTAGCCGAATAGCAACCTTAGAGTCCGCTACACTTTCACTCTTGCTTCTTCCTTCCATTGCTGGGTTGGGGAGATAGCGGCTGGCACCACTGCAGCTTCCAGGGGATTTTGCAAGTGCTGTAAGTGTGAAATGAAGAGAATGGAGGGTGTTGACAGCAAAAAAAGAAATCAGGGGTGCGGACAGAAAGCGTTAATGGACTGTGCTGCAAATGACCCCCAAGGAAAAGGGGAGGGGAGTGTTGATGGGGTGGGTGGGCACAAAAGGAGAGCAGACTGCTAGAAATGTTTTATTTGCCTTCTTTTCTGTTTTGGAGGGAAAAGATGTAAGGAGCCAAACAAATGCCCAGGGTTACATATGCTATGATTCTACCATTGCATGGAATTTGTGTGCAAAAGCCAGCACACTGAGAATCTCAGCTTTCATTTCTGTGTTTTCTGTTTCTTGCTTTTCTTTTTTTTTCTTTTCTTTTAAAAAAGCAGCAGCTATATAGCCTTGGTGTAAATCAAGGGCTACCAGCCGTGATGAAGGCTATGGTGTACCTACATTGGATAGTAGCAGCATTGCTTCTGAATACCAGTAGCAGCTGAAAGCCAGAAGCGGAGCGTGCTCTTGCGGTCGGATCCTGCTTATGGCTTTCCCACAGGCACCTAAGCTGGCCACAGTGGGAACAGGATGCTGGACTAGATGGGTCACTGGCCTGATCCAGCAGGCTCTTCTTATCTTCTTACGGTGTCCTCCAAATGCTTTGATACAGGCTGGGTACTTGTAGTCCCAAACATCCAGAGGGTAGCAAATTGAGGGAGGCTGTTCTAGTACTCAAAGGGAAGGTAGGAAGTGGTTCAGCATCAGCTGGAGAGAATCTCAGAAGCCAGAGGCAGGGTCTCAGCTGGAGTTCTGGTGGGTCAGAGTGCAGCTGGGAATGCTTCTAAAGGTAAAGGTAAAGGGACCCCTGACCATTTGGTCCAGTCATGACCAACTCTGGGGTTGTGGCGCTCATCTCGCTTTATTGGCCGAGGGAGCCGGCATACAGCTTCCAGGTCATGTGGCCAGCATGACTAAGCCGCTTCTGGCGAACCAGAACCAGTGCACAGAAACGCTGTTTACCATCCCGCCGGAGTGGTACCTATTTATCTACTTGCACTTTGACGTGCTTTCAAACTGCTAGGTAGGCAGAGCTGGGACTTAGCAATGGGAGCTCACCCCGTCACAGGGATTCGAACCGCCGACCTTCTGATCAGCAAGTCCTAGGCACTGTGGTTTAACCCACAGCGCCACCCGTGTCCCTGGGAATGCTTCTAGCTGCCACCATAAAACCAATATGCAGAACATGTACTAATCCTTTGAGGTGGCAAGCAGCAGCTGGCTAGCCTGCCCCACAATTTAAACCACTAGTAAACACACATCTCTATGGTAATGGTGTGCATGTGCCCGTACACAGGTAATAGAACCATGAGACAAAGTTTATGTTCTCACCATCTTTCCCCACAGTCTGTTCCTGCAGAAGTGGAGCACGATGCTGTATGGTTCTTGAAAACCAGCTGCTGGGGTTCATGAGCAGAAGAGTGCTGTGGGTTTCACAGAAGGATCCGGTTGATCGCTATGAGAACAGAACGCTGGACTAGCTGGGCATTTCTCTGATCCAGCAGGGCTGTTATGTTCTCCCATCCCTCTCCCTCCTTTCCAGAATCAGACATCACTGTCAATAGGAGAACTTAAGATTCTGGGACCTCCACTTTCCCCCTTTTTAAGTAGGGATGTAGCCAGCAATATCGGTTTTATAAACATCTGCTGGAATGTGGTCCTCTCCTTTCTCTTAGACCAACTGAGCTATCCAGCTGATGACTTCAGACTTATCCAATTCTTTTAAAAAGGGAAAACCTTAACGTTCCTTCATACTTAGGAGTGTTTCATCTTACGGGATATATGTGTCTAAGACAGTGATGGCCAAACTTGGCCCTCCAGCTGTTTTTGGACTACAACTCCCATCCCCAGCTAACAGGACCAGCAGTCAGGGATGATGGGAACTGTAGTCCCAAAACAGCTGGAGGGTTAGCTCAGTTGGTTAGAACATGGTGCTGATAATGCCATGGTTGCATGTTCGATCCCTGTGTGGAACAGCTGCATATTTCTGCATTGCAGGGGGTTGGACTAGATGATATCCTCAGGGTCCCTTCTAACTCTGCAATTCTATGATTGTCAAGTGTCAAACTCCCTGGTGTTTAACCCTTGTACCTTTAATGTGGAAAGGAGAAGATGGTCAGGGACTTTGCAATAAGCGCAACACAAAACCGGATTTTGTCAGCATACGGCCAGCTACAGCCTTGCATCTAACCACTAGTTCCAGCTCCTCCACCGGTTATTTGAACAAGAGTGTGTGAAGGGAATTCTAGGTACGCTTCGGTTCTGCCAGGCTGCACCCAGAAGCCAGTGTGGCTCCTGAAATGCCTCCTTTGCTCCCCCTACAAGATGGTTCCACAAATGCTCCCCATGCATCTCTCGCCCAATTCCATCCTTAATTAAGAGGCAAACATTTCCCCCCTACCCCCTTTTCATTTCTCTTTGCCCAGCAACAATCATGCAATGCATGGGAGGTCCTGAATAATGGACGCTCAGTTCACGGCACTCTCTAAGCCATGTAAGAGAGTGAGAGAGATGAATATTTTATCGGCCACGCTTGGCTGGACCCCTTCTGCTGTGGCAAGAAAACAGCCGTGGCAGGGAACAGAGGAGGGAGGCAGGCTGGCTGGCTTGGAAGGGGGAAGGTGGGGAAAGAACTACATGTAATCCAGTTGATGGAGGAAGGCATGGTGCCTACTCACTTAGCAGAAATGGGAAGGATTGGGGGCTTGACACACCCAGGGCCGGCTCTACCGTTAAGCGGGGCCAGATGTCTTGCCTCAAGAGGCGGATCTTAAGAATGCGGAACGAGGCTTCTGGATTAGACCAAAAGATCCACTTAGTCCAGCATGCAACCAGGTTTGCCTGAGACGTTGACAAAAAGGCGATAGATTTGTCAGCTATTTAAAAAGCATTATATTTTTACTGCTGGAAATGGGGAAAGGTACCCTTTGATTTTCTGCCCTGCACCCAGAATGAGGTTAGATGCAGTTAATGTGATAGAGCAAAGGATCAAGAAATCCTGAATCCAAACACCAGAACTAGAAGGTGATTAGAGCTGTGTGAACATTTCGGGGGTTGGGGGGGTTATTCATTGCATGCCACCTTTCTGCCAAGGCACCCAAGATGGTTTACAACTGTAAACTTAACAAATAAATGGTATAAAATGTAGAGCAGCAGAGCCCTCTCTCAGGGTGACCAGTGGTCTCCGGAAATTCTCCACTCTTTATTTCTTGGCAGAGAAGTTGGTGAAGGAAACCATTCCCCTAAATTTATCCAAGGAGAGGATAAATTCTCTAACAGCTTCTCAGGAGCAGGGCTCACCATTAGGAGTACAAGTGGTACCTCAGTTCTCGAACTTAATCCATACCTGGAGTCAGTTAGACTCCCAAAACTGTTAGAAAACGAAGGCAGGGCTTCCGACTGGCTGCAGGAGCTTCCTGCACTCAATCGGAAGCCGTGTTGGATGTTCAGCTTCCGAAAAACGTTCACAAACCAGAACATTTACTTCTGGGTTTGCGGCGTTTGGGAGCCGATTTGTTCAACAACTAAGCCGTTCAGGAACCAAGGTACCACTGTATTTGCAACGAGGCTTTCTTTTCTGCTTAAACCACACACAGACATTTATAGCAACTGGTGGCAGCAGTAACTGCGTTGAGAGCCTGGCCATCGTTTTGCCGCCATTATTTTCCACTAAGGGGAAACGAAGGCTGCTGCAAAGAAGTGAGACCAGTCCACAGTTTAGTTGAGAGGCTTGAAAAGTCCTTTTCTCTCGTCTTCACCAACTTTACTTTCAAAGGGCCTAAGAAACTAATGCCAGCGGGTTCATCCAGCCAGTTGCCAGGGAGGCCTTTAAGTGGGTGGGGCTTTTGTTTTCGAAAAAAATAAAGGGAGAGAAATTAAAAACAATAAAAGTGAATAAGAAGAAGAGAGGGGAGACTGTCCCCCCCCCCCTCTGTAAAAGCTCAAGAACTATAAAGCAGCCAGTGCTGTTGTTGCTTGAGGAGATGGGGACTGTACTACCAGGGCAATGGGAGAGGAGACTTGTGGGTGAGCCTTAGAAACTTGCCCACAGTACAAAAGGCGCCAATCCCATCTGCCGCTTTGGCCTCTGGCCCCGCCCATGACTCACATGTGGCCCCCTGAAGGCTGCTCAGACAGGAATTCGGCCCTCTGGCTGAAAAAGTGTCCCTGGCCTAAACCGTGCGGCCCTTAGCCCACAAAAAAAAGGCAGGGAATGACTGCAAAGGATGGGTAGGCCTCAATCTCTGGATACCCAGTGGACTGAGGAGCAGCACAGGCCTCCCCGACGGCGAGGAAGAGGGACTGTATGCCTTCTTCCTTAAAATGGGCAGCTGTGCTTCCCTGCGTAGCCTTGGGATGGGCACTCTAGTTGCTATGAATACACAGACCCTCTAAAGACAACAACACATCGCCGTTCTCATTGAAATTTAAATATTTCAAATCAAGTTACGTTAGATAACCTCAAATCTAAGCCACGTTCTCCTGCATTTAGAGGGATTTATAGTGCCGTGCTTTAAAGTTCTGGGGAGGGTGGGGTTGAGAGGCAAACCCCCCTCCCAAGATCCCTTGTCATATTTTTGCCCTCCGAAATCTCCCCACCTCCTCGCATTCCAAGCCGCTGTTTTCCACCGACTCTACCGCAGCCTGATAAGCTCTTGACCTACTTTCCCATGCCAGAGCTGCGCCACGCTCTCCCTTCCTCCCCATTGGGTGGCTGTTGTGTCGACATTCCTCTAAGCCCCCCCTCCCAAAACGAACCACCTTCTTCAGGCTGGTGGAAAAAGCAACTCTCCCAAGATATCCAGAGTGATTTACGTTGGGGGGTGGGACTTCAAATCTCCGTCCACGTCCCTGGCCACACAACGTGGACCTTTGTCCAGGCTTTGCTAAGGCTCATCCCTTAAAAGTAACAAATTGCAACAATCTCTCTCTCTCAAATCCGGCCCGTCCAGTAACTTCCCAATTCTGGGAAGTGCAAAGCTGAGCTTCCAAGTCCCTTCCCTCAGCAACTGGAAACTCACAAAAGTGTGAGGAGGTGCAAATTGTGATCTGGGCAGGGGCGGGGCAAGATGGGAGCAGGCAGAAAAATCAGAGTGACTCGATATAGAATCATAGAATTCTAGGGTGGGAAGGGTACCCCCCTAAGGGTCATCTAGTCCAACCCCCTGCAACACAGGAATTACAGCTAATATGACTTAACATGTACATGCAGGGTAAGAATTTAGAATGACCCACATTTTTCCTCTTTCCTCCCATCTCTTGCCTCTTTTAACACAGATCAGGGATGGTAAACCGAGGGCCATATTTCCTTCTGGTCAACTTTCCAGGGGCCATATGCCAATCAGTGTTGGCCAGGCCAACAAATATTAATACCCTTGTACAGTAGGCTCGTTTCTGCACACATTCACACACCCCTCTCTACCCAGGCACTGTGAGAGTTCAATGAGACATTTCAGCCACACACAAAAACACTCGAGGAGGATGCAACATAAGGCGTGTGGCTTGGGGAGAAGAACCCCAAAGGCCTGCAAGGCCACATTTGGCCCTTGCCCTGAGGTTTCCCCACCCCTGGCGTAGGTTATAAGCTCTCTGGACGAAGCATGGATCACTTGTGGAATTCCTTAACACAAGATGACAGATAGCTTACACGGCTTAGCCACCTCCCCCCCCCCCCCGACTAGACAAATTCACGGAGAACAAGTATATAAATAGCTCTTAACTGCAATATAGGCCCTCCCTGTTCAGAGAAAGCATACGTCTGAATACCAGACAAGCAGGGGACGGCTGCTGCTTTCAAACCCCTCTTAGGAGCTTCCCTGAGGCAGCTAGCAGGCTGGTTTTCAGAAGAATGCTAGACCAAATGAACCTTTCGGTCACTTCTTATGTTCTTTTTCTCCCCCAGTCCCAGGCACAGCATTAATGATGCTGAGTAACTCGATGGAGGAGTAGGAATACGTTGCCCTGGGGGAGAGTCTTATGCTCCCTCTGATCTGTCTGCATTTACCCCTCCACCCCACATGGAGAAGTGGGGAGGGGGGGCGAGAAGAGAGATTCAGGTTGCGGGCATTTAGGAAACTCACACACTGCCAACAGGCTGGTTTTTCTGGCTGTTGCCCAGGGGGAAGCGAGATAAAAATAGAGCCAGCTGCCAATGCCCTTCCCATCCACACATACATACTGCCGCCTGTCTGCTGCGCACGCACCCCCTCCCTGCTTTTCCACCGCCCCCGCACATTCCCATACAGCCCCCACAGCCTGTCCGGCACAAGGGATTCACTAATAACGCCCCCTGAATGCAGCTGACAGCTTGGATCACGTCAGATGTTCAACTGGCGACGCTTTAAGTGTCGCTGACCTGGAAGGGCGGATGGAACCAGAGAACTAACTCAATTCCAGGCCCAGAGGGTGGAGGGGGAGACGGGACGGCAAGGGGGTGAGCTAAGAGGACGGCGGGGGTAAAGAGTAGGGCTGCGAGGATTTGCTGGCCGAGTTTTTCTCCGCCGAGTTCCTGCAAATTGAAAAGTTCCCCCGCCCAGCAAAGTCTATGGACCTAGATGGTCATGACACCCACCCACCCACCCACCCACCCCCAGCCCAAACAGACAGAAGAGTCACGGTGACACCAGAGACCGCTGTCTCACCAGCACGGTATCTTCCCCTCAAAGCCTCATACTTCCATCACATGCACCCGCCCTTACGTCTCCCATCTAAGCCCCAAATCCCCCAGATTAGAAAGGCGCGCACACACACACAAAACCTTGACCCTGTGTCTGTCAGAGTATAACCTCAACTTTGCTCTCAAAGCCTTGTTCTCTCTGGGACAGTAACACTGCTACCCCTTCCTCACCAACTACCGAACTCATACCCACTGTCCCAACCAAAACCCCCCCACAAGAGATGCATGGGGGCGAAGCCGACACAGTCGCGGCAATTATTTAATAAGCTGTTTTCTGTGTGTTTCAAGTGTCTTGTCTTC